GTTGCCGTAGAGTAATTGCAGCGTTTTTTAGCCGTTGCGAAATACAAGATTCAGCAACGTTTAAAAAACGTTGCAATTACTCTACCGCAACGTTTTATAAATGTTGCCGTTAAGCTTTTGCAACGTTTTTAAAATGTCCCCGTTACTCTTCCGCAACATTTTTTCAATGTTGCCATTCCTCTACTGCAACGTTTTTAAAATGTTGCCGTTACTCTTTTGCAACATTTTATGAACGTTGTCAATACCCTTTTCCAACATTGTTTTAACATTGTTTTAACGTTGCCGATTCGTTTAACGTTGCCAATTCGAACACAATGTACCAATAAAAGTTCAAATTCAAGAAATATAAAAAATCACAAAACAATAATTACAATCAAAAGCCTCTAGAAAAACAATTACAAGGCAAAATACTCTTATCATATCTTCGGACGTCAATTCCAAAATCAGAATAAGTAACTACATAAACAAGTACCTTCCAAACTATAATGGATTCCAAAATAAAAAGCCTAGTCAAATTCCAAAATATGAGAAGACTAGCTTAATCCAAAATAATAAACTCAAAGACTTGTAATATTTGTTTATTACATATTTCTCCTCAGCCACGGGATGGATCCAGCCTTTTGTATCCTTGTAATGTGCGTTCTTCCATAGTTGAATTTTGTCCAGTCGTCTAGTTGGTTGGTCTAGAAATTTCTTGTAACGTGTGTGAAGCTCATATTGAAACTCCTTAAAGGAAGTGGATTTCTCCATGAACTCTTTGAGAGTTGCATATTTATCATATTGTACGTCAAAAATAGCCTGCATATTTATCATATCATACCGTGAGTGAAAATACTACGACAAGAGCACAGAATTCACACAAATATATTGTAATAAGTTGCTGCTCCAAGAAACCAAAATCAAAATGCCAAGAATTCAGATCATTCAAGATATGCATACATGTCAATGAACATTTAGAGATATCACTACTCCCTCAATCAAACAACAGGTAATTTGTTGCCTCCTATGTTTAGTATGGCTACGAAAATTGCTTGAAGTGTTAAACTTTCTTCTATGAGAACAATCATTGCAAGTAATATAATTTATTCTCTTGTTAACCAAATTAGAAGCACTCTCCCAAATATCCATCATCTTTAC